TAGAACAGTTAGACACACACCTCAGCAAAATGGTTTAGCAGAAAGGATGAATAGGACCATTCTTGAGAAGGTTAGGAGCATGTTATCTGATTCTAGATTACCTACTAGGTTCTGGGCAGAAGCTGCTCACACAGCAGCTCATCTGATTAATAGGAGTCCATCCTCAGCCCTTAGCTTTAGAACACCTATGGAAAAATGGTCAGGGTATCTTGCTGATTATAGAAACCTTAGGGTGTTTGGATGTACTGTTTTTGTGCATGATAAAACTGACAAGCTAAAACCAAGGGCAATCAGATGTGTTTTCTTAGGATATCCTGATGGTATAAAAGGCTATAGGTGTTGGGATGTTGTAGGACAAAGGTGTATAATTAGTAGAGATGTTAGGTTTAAGGAGGATGAAGTGATTGGCCTAAATCAAACTGGTTTGAGTGAAAGTGAAAACACAGTAAGGGCAGAATCCATAAACCTAGAGTTAGGTGAAGAAAACCCAAACCTGGACAGTACTGAACCAGACCACAATACTGATGATCAGCCTTTTGAAGATGAACCTACCATAGAGGACAGTGATGGAAATGATAGAGTTGAAACTGAGCTGCAAAATTACCAACTAGCTAGGGATAGAGAGAGAAGAGAAATCAGGTTGCCTAGGAGGTACTCACATGCTGATATAGTTGCTTTTGCCCTTCAAATTGCTGAAGACACTGATGAGGAACCTAGAACTGTTAAGGAAGCCATGAGTTGTAGGGAATCTAGGCAGTGGAAACTAGCTATGCAAGAAGAGTTTGATTCTTTAATTAAAAACCAAACCTGGATTTTGATTAACAAACCTAAGGGCAGCAGGGTGGTAAAATGTAAATGGGTTTTTAAAAGAAAGGAGGGCATACCAGGGGTAGAAGCTCCTAGGTTTAAAGCGAGGTTAGTGGCCAAAGGGTTTACACAGGTTGAAGGGGTGGATTACAATGAGATCTTCTCACCTGTGGTGAGACATACAACCATTAGGATACTGTTGTCTTTAGTAGCTCAGTTTGGTTTAGAATTAGAACAGCTGGACATCAAAACAGCCTTCTTAAATGGTGATTTAGAGGAGAAAATTCTGATGGAACAACCTGAATGCTTTGAAAGGGGAACTAAGAATCAGGTATGCTTGTTAAAAAAATCCTTGTATGGCTTGAAGCAGTCTCCTAGGCAGTGGTATAGGAAATTTGATTTTTTCATGTTAAATGCTGGGTTTATCCGAAGTAGTTTTGATGGCTGTTTTTATTTCAAATGTTTATACGGAGAATGCTATATATATCTGTCACTGTATGTGGATGATATGTTGCTAGCTTGTAAGGATGTCTCAGAAATTGATAAATTTAAAAGAGAAATGAGTAAACATTTTGATATGAAAGATTTAGGACAAGCTAGGAAGATTTTGGGTATGAACATTGAGAGAAATAGGAAAACTGGAAGTCTCATACTGTCACAGAAAGAATATGCTGAAAAACTAATCAAGAAGTTTAATATGATTGACTCTAAGCCTTTTAAAACACCTTTAGGTCAACATTTTAAGCTCAGTGTAACCCAGTGTCCAGAAACTGAAGAAGATAAGGAAGAAATGGCTTGTATACCATATGCCAATACCATAGGAAGTCTGATGTATTTGATGGTGTGCACCAGACCAGATTTAGCTTTTGCTGTCAGTGCTGTTAGTAGGTTTATGAGTAATCCTGGAAAACATCATTGGGAAGCTGTTAAATGGATTCTTAGGTATGTGAAGGGTACTCTGTCCACTGGCATAGTTTACAGTAGGGTAAAAATTCTGGAAAACCCCATCATGGGATGTGTAGATGCTGATTATGCTGGAAACATTGATAATAGGAAGTCCATGACTGGTTTTTGCTTTTCTTTTTGTAATAACTTGGTTTCCTGGAAAGCTAATCTGCAGGCTATTGTAACTCTGTCCACTACCGAAGCAGAGTATGTTGCAATTACAGAAGCAGTCAAGGAGGCCATGTGGCTAAGGGGGATGCTGATTGAAGCTTAACAGCTGCATGCCTATATAATTAAGAATTTGGCAACATTGCCAGTTATTGTATTGAATGCAATTATTGTCATGTATTCAAGATGCGGCTTTGTCCTTACATCATTTAAAGTTTTTGATAATATGCTGGAACAGGATGTTGTTTCTTGGAATACAATGATTTCTGCTTTTGTTCAGAATGGGTTGGATGATGAAGGATTAATGCTTTTGTATGAGATGCAGAAACAACAATTTATGATTGATTCCGTTACTGTTACTTCTTTGCTTTATTATCTTCAAATCTGAGAAACCGTGATATTGGAAAGCAGACCCATGCTTATCTCTTAAGGCATGGCATTCAGTTTGAGGGAATGGAAAGTTTTCTTATAGACATGTATGCTAAATCTGGTTTGATTAGAGCTTCTCAACAAAATTTTGAGAGAAACCATACTGGAGACAGAGATCAAGCCACTTGGAATGCTATGATTGCTGGGTATACCCAAAATGGATTGGTTGAGGAAGCTTTCATTACTTTTAGGCCGATACTTGAGCAGAACGTAACTCCCAATGTTGTGATTATAGCATCTGTGCTCCCAGCTTGTAATCCAATGGGAAATATAGAGTTGGCCATTTGGGCAAGCAACTTCATGGATTTTCTATCCCCCATTTGTTGGACCAAAATGTCTTTGTAGGCTCTGCTTTTATTGATACGTATTCTAAGTCGGGGTCAATTTCTTATGCTGAAAATGTGTCTGCCCAAACCTCTGAAAAAATGCAATTGTAGAGCTCTTTCTTTGTTTCGCAGAATGCAAGAATGTGACATTGAACCTGATGCCATTACCTTTGTTGCAGTGTTGTCTGCTTGTAGTTATGTTGGCCTGGTTGATGAAGGTCTTCAAATATTTGAGTTAATGGAGTGTAAATACAAGATTCAGCCCTCAACTGAGCACTATCGTTGTGTTGTGGATATGTTAGGTCGGGTTGGGAGGGTGGTTGAAGCCTATGAGTTTGTCTAAAAATTAGGTGAAGAGGGGAATGTGTTGGAAATTTGGGGTTCGCTTCTTGGTGCTTGCAGACTTCATGGAAAATCTGATTGGGAGAAGTTGTTGCCAAGAAGTTGCTTGAAGTAGATACAAGAAAAAAAATGACGAGCTATCATGTTTTGCTCTCAAATATCTATGCAGAAAAAGGAAACTGGGAAAATTTTGACAAAGGAAAGAGATGAGAGAAAGATGAGAAAAGAAGTTGGATGTTCTTGGATTGATACTGGAGGTTATGTGAACCATTTCGCGTCTAAGGATCAAGAGCATCCGCAAAGTGATAAGATGTATGAGACGTTGGAAGGAATAGCCATGGAAATGAAAAATGCTGGTTATAGGGCCAATCAAAGCTCTAATCTAGATGCCATCTCGCATTTTAATGAATGAACTGGAATATTCATTATAGACTTTGAAAATTGGAGAATGAAAACCATGTTTAGTGAAGACAACTAGCTGCAAAAATGTTGGTTGTTGAAAGGCCAGTAGTTGGTCATTTAATTATTGTGGATACAACATGATGGTAGGTCTAAATCTTGGTCTTCTGTCAAGACTGACAATTTCGATCAATGCTCAACTTGCTCAGTTGAACAGGTCAATGTTTAGCATGACGCAATTATCTGGAGGTTTGCATGGTCTTTAGTGGTCAAGTTAAGCAATGGAGACCAAATTAGAGTGAAGTGGATAAGCTACTCAACTTTATTTAAACAGGCCTTATCTCATTGTTTAGGTAAAAAAATTAATATCACTCTATGGTCGGTAGCAACGGGGCTTTATTATAGATGTGCATGAATTTCTTTGTTGGATCTTTCACACTTTTTTAACTGCAGTGGCTGTTTTCTCATTGCTTCTTAGTTATCTTCTATGTTCTTTCCTCTACTGTGATCAATGCACTTTCTTCATATAGTAAAGTGGCCATACCTAATTTTTTATTGCAGAATCTGTCTTTTGGGTGAAAACAAAGAAGAAAATGAAAGATTGGTTTAAAATTCATGTGAGAAGTTTTGTAAGCAAATTTGTAGAAAAAATTGTCATATAGTTTCTATTATTTAAGTTTTCGATACTTTATTCTTGAAACTGTTAAGATTCTCTTTAAGCGGATAGTTGTAACTCAACATATGAAACCATTTTAGGTAGATAAATTGGTAATATGGAGAATGTGGACCTTATGCTTGAATGATGGATGATTAAAATGGAAATTTGAACTAGTTTGATCTTAGACAGAAATAAGTTTTAAACAAATAAAACCTGAGAAAAAGTTTAAAGCCATTTTCTATCGGTATATGGGATTTGACATTCATTAAGTTAAAAGAAGAAAATGCCTGCTTTGGATTCTTAGGATCTTTTGTTTTTGTTTCCTTCTCCGTAAAGGGATGTTGAACTTTTTCATATGAATTCCAGCATGTAAATAACATTTTTCTTATTATTTTCCCACTGAATTTATATGGAGCAACAGTGGTTCATGAAATTTCATCTGTCATTTAGAAAAAAAATAATAATTACTTACCACATCAGTAATACAAAGATATTCGAAAAATTTCATCAATCGTATATATAGAATGATGAAAAAATACTAACATAAAACAGTTTTATCAACTCATTATCAAATAATATGGTGAAACCGTCCAATGAATTACACAGTACATGCGTTGTATGCTGACATGGTATACACTGTACACTCAGTGCATGAATTACACGTGTCTCTCCTCTTTTCACTATTAGCAAGGCAGTGACATCATTTACTATTAGTATATCCATAAAAGCTTGGTATAATTTTACTCACAACCAACACAAGGAATCATCAATCATCCACACAATGAACAAGAAAGCTCAGCTCGTCTTTATTCCTACACCAAGCATCGACCACCTCTTCTCCACTGTGAAGCTGGCCAAGCTCCTCGTCCACCACCACCAACCACCAGGTTCACCACCATCACCACCTCTCCATCGCCGCCCTCGTCATGAAACTACCTTCTGACGCTAAAATCAACGCCTACCTCGACGCAGTCCCTGCAGCCAACCGTATCAACTTCGTTCAACTTCCCAACGATCAGATTCCACTTCCTGGATCCAACCCCAGAAAATTCTTCCCTTTATATATTGAATCTCATAAACCCCACGTCAAAGCAGCTGTCGCTAAGCTTCTTCACTCAGAGTCAGCCTCCGATGACTCACCTAGACTCTCTGGGTTCGTTTTCGACATGTTTTGTACAGTCATGATCGATATTGCTAATGAGCTTGGAGTTCCGAGCTATATTTAGTACACATCGAGTGTAGGGTCTCTCGGTTTGATGTTTCACGCGCATGCTCTTTATGATGATCAGAACATGCACACCGCTGAGTTGAAAGACTCGGATACCGAGTTGGAAGTACCGAGTCTCATTAACCCAATTCCTGCTAAGGTTTTGCCTTCTACGTACTTGGAGAAAGATTGGTCTATGATAGTGTTTGAGCAAGCAAGGAGGGCCCGAAGGGTTAAGGGTATTGTTGTAAATTCATTCATGGAGCTGGAGTGATTGTGGGCGCTAGGGAGATAGAGAGAGGGATCAGGAAATTGATGGAGAATGATAATAAGACAAGGAATAAATTGAAGGAGATGAGCGAAAAGAGTAGAAAAGCCATGATGTGGGGGATTACATATGAGAGGCTTGTTCAAGTCTTATAAAAAAAACCATGTCATGAGATATATTAGATGTTGGAAGGATTAGCCATGGAAATAAAAAAAAATGCTGATATAGGGCCACCTGAAGCTCCAATCTAGATGCCATCTCTTAGTTTAATGAATGAACATGAATATTCTTCACAGATTTTGAAAATGGGATAATGTGTAGTAAACTGAAGACAGCTAGCTGCAAAAAATGATACAAACTCGATGATAGGTCTAAATGTTGGTATGTCTTTTGTCCTGACTAACAGATGTTACATGGATTTCGGAACTCAACAAGACCATATTCACCGCATAGCGCTTCATGTCCAGGATCGACAAACTCTACAATCTGGTAATCTCCTCATCATCTGCAATTGAGCAGGAAAAAAATAATGGAGTTGGCAGGGGAGTCAACGCCATCTACCGCCTTCTGCCAGTTTGCGCCCTCTTAAGTTCTAACAGGTAAAGGATGCCCAAAATATTTCATGTGAATTCCAACAGATAAACAATAATCTTCTTAATTCTTTTCACACTGCATTTATATAGAGCAAGTATGGCTTATATCTACCATGTCACAAGTTAATACATGAAGATCTGATAAACAAGGCAAGACTTGACTTTTAAATAATTTGCCTAGTTGAGGATGATTTTGATTGATCAAAAAGCAAGACATCTTTCTCTATTGGTAAAATATTTGAACATAAATCACTAAAGTAAGGTTATATTCATTAGAGCCTGAAAAGTAATACTCAGCTACTTTTCAATTTCCAGTTATTTGAACATATACAGGTCTTCTCCCTGTTAGCAAAGCATTTAATCATCACTGACTTATCGTCTTGTTTACATAGATATTTTTACTTCAATTAATTTCCATTTTAAAATCCATTTAACTTTTATTGAATTTTACTCTCAAAACTCAAGAACACAATAACCAGCTTCAATGAACAAGAAAGCCGACCTCGTCTTTATCCCTACACCAGGCATCGGCCACCTCGGCTCTACCGTCGAGCTGGCCAAGCTCCTCGTCCACCACCACCAACGCATCTCCATCACGGTCCTTGTCATGAAATTACCCTTTGACTCCAAAGTTAACACCTATCTAAACTCACTCTCTGCTAGCGACCGCATCAACTTCGTTCATCTCCCAAGCGATGACCTTCAAGGATTCAACCCCAGAAGCTTCTTCACTTCGTTCATTGAATCTCATAAACACCTCGTCAAAGAAGCCGTCTCTAAGCTTGTTCACTCGGAGTTAGCCTCCCTTGACTCATCTCGACTCGCCGGGTTTGTCCTCGACATGTTTTATACCAGCATGACTATTGGATTATTAGTATAATCAGTTAATTAGTTTAGTTAGCTAATTAATTTGTCAGTTAGTTTGTTAAGTGGTTTAGTTAATTGGTTAAATAGTTAGTTAGTTGTTACGGTTAATTAACTGTGGTTGACTAACTATGATTTCTTGTACATACATATAAACTGTGCTTCTTGTAAACGGATCCCTTTAAGCTGAATAAAAAATTTCCTTTCTCTCAAATGCAGTTTGTTCATGGTATCAAATCAGTGTTTTTTCTACAGCCAAATCTTTGGTCGTTGATCTAGTTTTTTTCGATCAGATTCATTATAGATCTAGTTAAAAAATGATAGATTGATGTATTATCAGCTAGATCTAATCAATAATGTGCTATTATATCAGATTCTGATTACTTTTCTACTATAGTAGTCGGAATCTAGCAAATAAATATGGGTAGATAGAGATGTTTTTCTTAATTTCTAAACTTTTTTTGGTGGGTGTTTGTTAAATTAATAAGCTTAAAAGATTTAAAAATAGTTAGATAAAATATAATAGCATTTTTAGGGAAACAAACCAGTATTTTAGAAATGAGAAGTGCTATCCTTATAAAGATAAATAGAAAGGGGGTATACAAAGACAATTGCTACTTTTGATCTTCATGATTTTTTTTTTTCTCTCTCTCTCTCTTTCCCTTTTTTTTTTTTTTTTCTTCTCTTCCACGTCACTTTGTAACTCTCTTTGTATAGGTCTTTGTAAAAATAACATTTTTTTTTAGAAATAGTATGAATAGAATAATAAAATATGGTAAACCAAACGGAGCTATAATTCCCCAAATTTAAATCGCCCCCAAAATTCTTCTATCCTAAATTTGCAAACCAAACAATATCCGGCTGAGATTGCACATACCATGTAAGATGCCACGTCATGAAGTAAAAGAAACGGTGTATGAGGTGATGTAAAGATAATATTATTCATAATTAAAAACAAAAATGGAATGAAATAAAATAAAATAAATTGAATGAAATAAAATAAGAAAATAAAGTAGTATAAGACAAAGGATATTAAAGTCTTTTTCTGTTAACACCCATTGATGTGTCTCACTCTCACGTTGGTTTCAACACATCCGTCGACACTATCAAACAAATGATCAAAGAGCACAATAAAAACTCAATGCCTTCGGATATGGACGGTTGAGATGATAACTTTCAGAAAATTAATTTGATTTACAAGCGAGATCTCGCCCGTCACACCTAAGCTGGTGGCGACCAGACTACCTTTTTTATTCCTTTATTATTAAATAAATATTTTTCTCACAAACTGGCATAGTAATCATCAGCCCCTTGTCCTGTATATAACTTCCCATCAACAGAACAAAAGGATGAAGAAAGCTGAGCTAGTGTTGATCCCTTATCGGGCGTCGGCAAACGTTGTAACGAGGTGGAGAGGCAAAGCTACTGGTCCACTGTGACCAGGGGCAGACCCAGCCCCTTGGAGGTAGAACCAGGCCTATCCTCACATTTAAAAAAAAAAATTTATTTATATAAGCATATAAAAAATTCTATTAAGTATATATCTAAGTTTACCGGATTTTTAAAAAATGAATATATATATATATATATATATATATATATAATATATATATATTAATATTATTATAGAGAGAGAGAGAGGAGATTACTATTAATAATATATTTTAGCTTAAAACTCTTTTTACTCTTCTCTATGTCTATAGTTTTTATAATTTTATCTCAAAATATTTTACTCTCATTTTCTTTCACTTTCTTATGTTATTCATTCTTAAAACTTTTAAAGACTAAAATTGTTGAAGTTTTCACTAATTAAGATACCACAATTAGCTTCGTTTTCTGTTTTTACAGTTTTAGGTATGTGTATTACTCATTTCATTTTAGTTTATTTTAAGGTTGAATCATACTATTTTTTTGAGATTTTATTCCTAATTTAATGGAAAATGACTGGATCTTATGAGTTTATTTGTGTTTTGTGTCTAAGAATGTTCTACTTTCTCAAATAAACATTAACTATATTTACGAAACATTATTTTTCACATTCACCATCACTTCCTACATTTCCAACGTCACTGTTAGCTGCTCAAAAATTAAAGTGTTTGAGTTATATCTATTTATACTAACAAAATTTTCTCTTTTTTTCTTAATCATATTAAAAGTCAAGGCAACGTTGACTTAATTTAAGTTTTGATTACTTTAGCTTGGGTTAGGCTGATCAAAGTCATGAAAATTTATATTATAATCATTAAAAGCAAAAAAAAATAATAATAATAATATTAAAGAAGAAAAAGAGGAGAATAAGAAATTTGTGTAGAATATTTTTGGTGGATTATGATTGTTGTAAACTCTTTTAATAGGGGGTGTTTGTCTGAGCTTATGAAAATTAGCTATAAGCAACAAGTGTATAAGCTAATTTTATTATAAGCATTTAAAATTTTAAGCAATTACGTATTTAGTTAAATACTTATAAGTGATCGATAAGTAGTTGACGTGTTGGTAAAATATGGCTTATAAGTATATTTTATATAAAATGACTAAAAAAGGTATTACATTAAGAAGGGGATACTAAGGAATTTTAAAATTAAACAAGGATAATGTGATAATATACTTGGTCAAACTAGCTTTAAACAGAGTGTTTATAAGCCCCCAAAAAAAAAAAGTACCTCCCCCACTTATTTTTTTTTTTTTTTTGCTATAAGCTCAACTTATAAAGTTAAAAAAATTATAAACAAAGAGATCAGCTTAATTTTAGAGCTTATAAACTAGTTTGACCAGCTTATAAGTAGACAAATACCCCCTATACGGATTTAAGGGAATCGTTAAATTTCTATGGTCATTGCTCTCTTTAATTGAGAGGTTTTTCACAAAATTTTTTTTATTTTTTTTGAATAGATATTATTTTTAACATAATTGCTCAAAATTTTACTTTCAAAAATTTATTCAAGTAAATTCTTACGTTATTGCATTATTTTCTTTAGATGATTGATATTGCACCATCATTTTTTTTAGTAAGGTTTAGTGATTTTATTTAAGTTTCACGTTTAGTGAATTTTTTAAGTTTTCGAGAAAGGAGAACCGCGGAGGCCCACTGGGCAAAAATCCTGGTCCGTCCACGACTGTGGACCACCTCGTCTCCATCACCGTCCTCGTCATGCAGCTTCCCTTAGACACTAAAGTCCCCGTGTACCTTCATTCACTCTCTCTCTCCCCTCTCTCCGCTCAACCCGAACTTCAAAATCATTCAACTCCCAGAAGTCAATCTTTTCCCTTCAAAATCATCTTCTCGCATAAGCTTATGGATTCGTTCGTCAAAAGCCATTAACCTCTTCAAAGGCAGTCACTAAGCTAATTCCGACGGAGTCAGTCTCTGGTGACTCACCTCGATCGCCGGGTCGTTCTCGATATGTTCTGTGCGGACATGATTGAAGTTGCGAATGATTTTGGAGTTCCTGCTGCATTTCTACACCTCCAGTGCAGCTTTTCTTAGTATGCAGTTACACTTGCAAGTTCTTTGTGATGAGCAAAACCAGCCCATCACTGAGTTGAACGACTCGTCATGAGTTGATTGTCCCGAGTCTCGTTAAGCGTTTCCTGTTAGGAATGCCTATCGTGTTCACAGAGAGAGTGGACTACTGTTATGTTTCAACAAGCGAGGGGGGTTTAGAGAAGCAGAGGGCATTATTGAAATACATTCAAGGAGTTGGAATCCTATGCGGTCGAGTCTTCTCTGATGGTAAGTTGAACAACACCACCTTTGATACACCGGACCATTTTGAATTTAGAGGGTGATGAGATTGATCGGGATCAGGTGGATCATCTCAGTAACAGAGATCAAGGAGTGGCTTGATGATCAACCGCCATCATCGATGTTGTTTCTTTGCCCGGGAGCATGGGAAGCTTCAGTGAGGACCAGGAGTTGTCGGGAATGCCGCGGCCGGCGCTGAGGCTGAACTGATAGAAGCTTTGCCAAAGCTTGAGATCGCGGCGAGTTTCAGCGGGGGCTGACAAAGTGACTTGGGGAAGTGTAAGAGAAGGGAATAAGAGTGCAAACACTCCTGATGTGTTGACTGATGACGTGGCGGATTTGGCAATTGGTTGACTTTGGCTGTGTTGAGGAGGTTGTGTGATAGTGATCGGTATGAGGAGTGGCAAGTGGAAGAGAGGAGATTATAGGTTAGTGGGATTTTTTAATGTTAGTTTGGTTTTGTTTCGTGGATTAGTATGAAATTGCCTGATTTAATGTTCTGCAGCATTTTTCTTGGTGTTGGATTTGTAAAGTGGAGAATTTTGTTGTTAATTTTAGTGTTTTTAGAGTCTAATTATAATTAGTGCTGAAACCACCTTATGAATAATGACCTTATAAGAACTTAAATGTGATAAATGTATAATCTTGCAAAGGGTTGTTCTGTGGTTGGTGATGGTGGTAGCATAGTGATTCGTGGTGTTGAAATGCTTTAAGCACTAATTGTTAATATGTGGTTTTGTATTGTGTTGTTGGTGAGGAGCTTGTTTCATGGAGGTACTGTCGATTTGAGTTAGAGTTGTTCAATCTCATGTTCTGCACTTCATTCTCTGTTGTACTCATGGCAGAGGGCTGAAATCCACAGAATTGGCCTAAACGCTATGAGGGTAAATCTGAGTGTAACAGTGGCAATTGATTATTTGGGAAACTCAGAAATAATTTGCCCTAGCGATGTTAATTTTGGACAGTTTTTATCAGGATATAAACAGTTATGTAGGACTTGCTTTTACTTGCCTTAATATCCCTACTTATCTGGTTTTAGCCGCCAAAAAATGAATACTTATCTAGAAAGTTACATTGGGCTCAGTTTCTGTATACATTAGGTGATGTCTGTTGTTCCGAATCCGAAGTTAAAGGTGGCTCAATTCCAAGTCAGTTCTCGCCAATTGGTGTTTTTCAATTTCTTGTTTCTTCCCTAAAAAGAAGGTATCTTCAATGTCTATTATGAATTAAACATCAATTGTATTGTGAAGAGAAAAGTGGGTGAGACTAGCATTTCATCTTTGTTCTGGAAAATATCTTTGTTTTGTGAATTCAAAAGCTTATTGTTAGTTTAGAAGCTTTTCAAATAGTAATGGCATTCATCTCAATCGCTAAATATGCCAAAGATCTTTACAAGTAGAATTGAGAAAGCTACAGTCAAATGGCTTTGGGAATTGAACTTGCTGCTGTAGATAGTGAGGAGTTTGACACTCTTGCCTTATATAGAAGCAGAGTAGGTGCTGTTCAATACTTAACCTTAACCAAGCCTGACATTGCTTTCTTATTGATAAACTAAGTCAATTTCTTAAGCAACCAACTCAGTTCCAGTGGCAGGCCTGCAAATAGTACTTAGGTACTTAAAAGGTACCTTATTTTATGACATTCAGTTCAATCCAGCAAGTACTATGCAGTTGGAGTGCTATGCAAATATAGTTGGGCAAGTTGTGTACAAGATAGAAGGTCTACACGTGGATGCTATGTTTTTCTTAGTCCTAATTTAGTGCAATTGAGTTGTAGAAAACAGAAAAGTAATGGCTTTATCATCCACTGAGGGAGATTATAGAGCTTTGTAGAACCTATTGAGATTGAGGCAGAATATAAACAAAACATATTGAGATTGAGGCAGAATATAAACAAAACATATTGAGATTGATACACATTATGTAAGAGAGCAAGTTGTAGCATATTTGATAAGAATTTAGTATGTTCCTAGTGAAGTGCAAAATGTTGACATCTTTACAAAACCATTGGTGGCAACTGGCAAGACAGTTTTGAGTTCTTAAGAAGTAAATTTATTGTTATACCATCTTCTCAGTATTTGAAAGGGTAAGTAATTAGTGAAGGTAAAGAACAAGTTACAGCAGTAGTAGAAGATGCGTAATAGAGAATTTGAAGCAGGAGTAAAACGAAGCAGTAGATATTGAAAAGATTGTAACAGCAGAACAGAAGTACTGAAGAGGTGAAGTACAAAGTTGAGTTAATTGTAGCAGCAGAAGTACTGATTAGATCCACCAGATTATAACAATTAAGCACCAGATTAATCAACTTCAGCCTGAATTATACAAAATACATCAGTTACTAACCCAAACATAAACTCTGTCAATAATCCATTAGAAAATTTGCATAACAAGTGAACTGATATTGGACTTAAAACAGAACAAATATATATAACAAGTGCAGTTTAGAAAATTCATCAAATTGAAGACAGTGAATTGAATTTTCTTCTGCTTCCCTTCAAACAGACTAATATTCATTGGATTCGGTGGAGCCAACTGAAAAACCATCAAAAGAAATATAATTAATCACAAGTATATTTATGTTGGAGCCTCTTGAAACAAATTCAATGTGTAGAATAATAAATTCAATTACCTGATTAGAGCTGATGAGCATGTTTCTAATATTCACTGTTCTTTTCTTCATTCTGTTGGATGAGAATTGGAATAAAGCTCTTCATTTTTTATGTACCGAGGTAATTTTTCTAAATTATGACTGCAAAAGAGATCTTTAGAAGTCTCTTCATGACTGTCATCTTCGACACTATCTATTTTGGGTGCCTGCAAAGCCAGATATTGGAAGCATCAAATGCGAAGGTAGTAATATTAAGCTTTTTGTGGCATTACATAAGAAGTAAATGTATGAAAAGAAGTTCCTTATTGTGAAGAATAATGAGCAAATCCTTTTGACTTAAAATCTTTAATCAATTATAATTAAAAAAAATGGAAGTACCTTTGCTTCCGCATGCACACTTTTATTTTCTTCATCCCACGAAAATCTTGTACTTATCTTTGGACATCTTTCGACTACCAACTGACGAAGTAGAAGTCGTGGTGTTGGAAATATGAAGTGATAATCCACATGGCAAAAATTGGTGAGTCTTGGTAAATCTTTTAGGATTATATGCTGAAGTCGAGGCAACTGGATTTCTTTCTCATCAATCACATCATTATCTCCAAATATTTCTTCTAATTCAGAGTTGTCCCTCACAGATAGGAATTCCAGTTGTTGAAAACCCCGAGCTATGGGGATAGGAAACAGATTTTTTAATTTATGGCACTTTTCCACTTCAATGTATGATAGAGTTTGGAGAAGATTTGCTCCAACTTCTTCACCATCCTTAACATCAATGATTTGCTCCAATTCCACACATTCTTTGATGCGCAGAACTTTCAATTGCAACATATGATTTCGAGCAACGGTTGGTGAGAAGATATGTTTGAGCTTGTTGAAGTGAGCTATTGTTAAAGAGGTCAAATTCTTCAAATTTGAGAATGATAATTCATGTTCTAGTACTCCGCAGTCTTCCATGCTTAATTCTTTAATTTTTTTGAAGAAGCCACATCTCAACCCAGAGAGAATTCCATCGCACAATTGACTACTGCAATTACTCATCTCTACAACCTGTAGATTCTGAGACTACACAATAATGTTATAAAAAGTTTATTAGATAAATTTATGCCAATAGATTATACCGTACTACCAACTACTAAAAAAAAGTAAGAGAATCTTTTATATATTTTATTTAATTAACTAAAAAATCTAAAAATTCTAAGAGAAGCTGAAAGTAAATTGAACAATAACAAAGTAGATTCATTTATAATTTTAAGTGAATGGTCTGATATGCTATTGCTGAATAAGTTTTATTAAACTTGGAAGAATTTTATTCCTATAAAGGGAGTGGTGGTAATTTGTAAACTTAAATTTTAACAATTTTTTAATAATGTACATAGAATATCTATCCAATTAGTGCTAACTATTATTATTGAATATTACTGACTCTTCATGCATAAAATATCTATCCAATTAGTAAAGGCCTAATAGATAAAAGATTTAACATACCTCTTCACCAATGAAAGTTGTAGTTAATTTGGAACAGTCTTCTACCATGAACTCTACCAAAGCTGGACAACATTCCTCATATTTTTCTGGAAAAAAACTTACTAGCTTTGCAAGTCCTTCTAGATATAAATACTTCAATTTTGGAAGCACGATGCTCTTATGATCTCCTCCACCTACATATTCTTCTCTTTCATGATCCAAATAAAATACTTGTTCCAAATTCTCACAATCCCATACTGAAAGTGATTCCAATTGACCCAACTTCTGAGCAAGAGTAACTGCGAAGATATGTTTCAACTTTTTGCATTCACCTATTGATAAAGTGGTTAAATTCTCCAACCTTAGAACATGAGCAGGACCTTTACATAAACCTTCTAGTTCTTCTTGATGATTTAATCTTGGAAGTGATAATTCATGTTGTTGTCTTTCAATAATTAGATCTTCCAACTGAAATACAACTTTTACTCCACAATTCTCAATTTGTAATTCTTCCAAATTTTTTGTTGCTCCACGTCTTGATCGAGAGAGAACTTTTTCAGCCGACTGATTATAATTGCCCACGCCTAGAACACACAATTTCTGGAGAAAAAAAATCACTCTGATCTTATCAAAATTTATTAGATCCACCAGATTATAACAATTAAGCAAACCTTTTTTTTTGGTTTTTTTTTTTTATAATAATAATAAAATTTTGTAAGTAATAAAAATTTGTAAATTTTGATCACTGGATTGTCATGTGACAACTTGCAATAGTACAGCTATGTCTTGTGTCAATCTGTCATTATATTATTAAATACAAGTAAAATGGAACGTAATGACAAAGCAAAGTAGATAATGAATAAATAATCATGATATCTTAGTTTATGCATCTTTAATAATAATAATAATAATAATAAAACCTCTACTTCAAAAATTATTATAATTAAACTTCAAAATTTAACAATAAATTTAACTCTAATTAAATTTTGTTAATTAGAGTTAAATTTAATTTTATATAAGGGCAACGTAATTGTATAAATTTAAATTAGTTCTTTTAAAAAAATAAATTAAAATTACTCACAAAGTATTAAATAAAAATAAAAATTTAAAAGCAATAAAATCATTAGGCCCTTGAGACTTAACGATCTCTCAGGGGCTAAGTGAAATTAATGCCAATTGTAATGAAAATTATATTATAATTGTTAGAAATTCTAAAATAATGCATAGCTAAATGATCATTCCAAAGGTCTAATAGATAAAGATTTAACAATTATGATATAATTTTTCATTGTTGATATCTCACTTAAAGTACTATCTATTGCAAAAAAAAAATGGTGGTAAAATCTTTTATTTAACCAATACAACTTTTTTCTTTCCATATTTATCGTAAAGAACCTAAAATAAATTTATGCACTTTTTTCTTTCCATATGCACGTTGAAATAATAGATGCAGCAGAGTTGAGCCAATAAAATGTTCGTCCATTTTAGGCCAAAAAAAGAAAAGGAAACGAATTAAAAACATACCTCCAAAGCTGGCAGAGTTGAATGATTATTTTTGGGAAAGAATCTGGTAAGCTTTTCAAGTTTGTAGAGCCTTAGCTTTTTTAAATTAGGCAACTTGATGTCCTTGCCTTCCTCTGCAACTTCATTTTCTTCTTTTCCATGAAATACTTGCTTCAACTCTGTTGCATCTTTTATTTCAAGATTTTTAAGTTGTATAAGACCTGCTGCAACAAACACCGGAAAAACGTATTCCAATCTCTTGCATCTTTCAATTTGGAGATCTTCTAATTTTGACAACATTTTCTCTCCCCTGCCATTATCATCCTCTTCTATCTTGATCAGGATCTCCAAACTCTCACAATATTCTACACGGAGTGATTTCAACTGCCCCAAACTCCGAGCAATTGATAAAGTGAAAAGATAAGCCAAGCTTTTGCACCCTCTCACATAAACATCCATAAGACTTTGGAAGTTTACAACATGCATGGGCATGGGCATGGGCATGGGCCCCTTCCATATACACTGCAATTCTGGTAACCATTGCAACTCTAACTTTGCTAAACTTGGATGCAACTTTGGATTTTCTTCCCCCACTTGCGATGCATCTATCATGCATTTCAAGTCTGAACAATCTCTAACCACAAGAGTATTCAACTTCTTCAATCCATTTTGGTCAATGCTTGGGAGGATATTTTGACCTGTTACTCTTTCCAAACTAAGATATTCTACACTATGATATAGTGCTTTAAATAATGCAGTCATCAAGGTTGCATCAATATGAGCAATTCTTAAAGCTTTTGATGATTCTTCTGGATATCCAACAGAGAGACCACTAGTAAGCCTTTGGTTCACAAAAATTTCATAACTTGAAAGTTCGGAGAAAGCAAAGTCTTTTGCAAGGCATTTTGAATTTATTTTCAAATACAGAACAGCCAAGCAAGGTAGATAATTTACCTCTGAAAGCCTAGCATTGCCTGTTTCTATACTCTTCTCTTCAACCTCCGATTCTTCAAAGATGTCTTCCATGTATAATTCTTCTAGTTGAGAAAAGCTTTGTATCAAATTGGAAGGAATTCTTTCTAGCTTATAACAGTCACGTAAATCCAACATTCTTAGTTCCTTAAGTTCACTCAATTCTATTGGTAATTCGTCAAAACAAGAACCTCTAAAGCTAAGAATCTCAAGTTTGTTCAGCTTGGCAAGGAAACAAATGTCTCTCAAATTACAACCAAACAACTCAAGAGTCTTGAGATTTGTCAAGAATTGAAGTGATTTCAGTGAAAGGTCTACATCTCTTAAACTTACAACTTCTAGTGCTTTCATCTCTTCGAAACATTCATCTGAAACTTTCAACTTTGACCATTGATTTTCACCACCCAATAGCAATATTTTAAGCTTAGGACATACCAGTCTAACAGGGAGCTCTTTTAGTTTGTTTTCCAACAAGGAGATTGCTGTATATTGTTTCCAGCCTCTTTCCATTTTCAACTGCGTCAAATCCATGCGAATCTTGCTCATGAATATATTCTCCCCCTTTGATGTGATCCACAGACAAACATCACGAACTATATCATGCATTCTCACAAATTCTTTTTTATGTGCATTTAATAGCAAACCCAAAGCCTTCAGGGCTTCAACAATTAAACGTAGGTCCCCTCTTGCTTCTTCAATGGATGAAACGCCTTCATATAAATCTAACCCCACTCCTATTCTAACCAAATCCTCCAAAGGAATTTCAAAATCCTCAGGAAATAATGAACACATCAAAAAACACAATCGAATTTCATCTCTCCTCAAATAATCATAACTCAACTTAAGACTGGCGTAGACACCTCTCTCTGTACTATTAACAAGACATAAATCCTCCAGTTTTGACTTTTTTAGTTTTTCACACACAGATTCCCATATTTCGATATCTTTCTTTCCTCTCAAGTGACTTCCAATGGTTACAAGTGCTAAAGGCAAACCATCACATTCTTTAGTAATTTCAGTAGCCAAAGTATTCAAGCCGATAAAGTCATCATCTATACCTGCTTGCCTTTTGAGTAAAGTCACTCCTTCATCTTCCTCTAAAACATCTAGAAGAATTAACGATTGATACTCCCTATAAGTGCATACGTTTCTGCAGCGGGTTGTCAGAAGAATTTTGCAACCTTTGCTCACTGGAACACCTATTTTTTCCTTGAAATTGAATTCTTCCCAAATATCATCCAGGATTATAAGGTTATTATTAGACTCTGACAATCTTGAAGACAGCCTCTGAGCTCTTCCCTCTTCAGTTTTCTCCGTAAATGTCAAATTTAGGAGTTCAGCCAACTTACCTTGAATATTTATGAAGTTTGGAGTTTGGGATACAGTAACCATCATAACATGCTTAAAGATGCCCTCTTCTTTGACCTTTTTACTCACTGCTTTTGCTAAAGTTGTTTTACCCACACCGCCCATCCCATACAATATAACCATATGGATGCCATCATTTTTAAGTGCCTCCATAATCTTATCAAAAGCATCCGTGGCAGGCCCGAAAAAGTCAAAATCTTTAAGATAGCCCACTCTATCAAATCGGCCTCCATCTACAATTGCCTTCAACAAAATGCTTGTCTTTGTTGCTTTCCTCCCCAACTGATGTTGAGAGACCCAATTAGGACACCACCCATTAAGACAGGTCTTGTTAACTTCTATTTTTCCTTTCAACGTCTCAATTTCTCCCATGATTTTTCTCGAATCAGACAACCAATATTGTACAGCTGCGTTAATTCTTTCATCATTTCTTTCTGCAGCTTCGATTTCTTTCTCCACATCACCTTGTTTCAATTTCAAGTTTCGTTCTGCTTCCATAAGATCTTCAACAATTTTGTTGAAACGAAATAAGTAACGAGCTTGGTTTATGGTCGGCTCCACCAGATATTCTCCAACCTTTGATACAATAGCAGTTACGATCTCCATCAATATATCTGTTATCAATTAGAGAATGCATCAGTATAACGCAATTATAGGAATATCTAAAATTAACTAATTAGTTAGAGATATGAATTTGTAAAATCAATCTTGTTGGAAACAGTTTAGATAACATCTGTTTTATTTTTATTTAAAAAATAAAATACATCATACTATGCTACTACTAATCTTACACGTATTCTTTGTAACATTGAATGGTGTAACATAATTGTGGTTAGTGAATAGGCAAACTAATATTTCATGATTATTTGTTTGTTTGCTGTGGAAAAGAAAATTAGCTTTAGCAAATACACCTTTGGGTAACACATGATTTTTAGCCTAGATAAGTGTTTTTAATTCCTAATGACTTTGTATCATAAATATGTTGTGAGACGTCCTAGACATTATTAAAATGTGTTAAATCTTAGAGAGAAAGTGTGTGGCCACAATTAGTGAGGCCACAAAAAGAGTGTGTAGCTACAAAGAGATAGAAGGGAGTAATTTGTAGTGCTCGAGAGACTTATAATATTCTTCTTTTTGTAGTGAAATTTCACAGTGGTTAAATAAACATAACTCCCATATAGAAAGTAAAGCACTATAAATGTAATATCCCATATTTTATAGGTAATTTTATGAAATTTATTTTGTTTTCTAGGGGGAAAAATGTGAGTTTCTAAATTTTTGATGGGGGTATTTTGAAAGAAAAGCTGATGTGGCAGAGTCATGAAAGAATAAGAGAATCATTGGGGTAGTTTCACAATTTTGGAAAATTGTTCTATATAAAATTGGGCTATTCGCCCAAACGGAGAAGAATCGAGAAGAAAAAAGAAAAGAGAGGGGAGGGAGAAGAGAAGAAAGAACAGAGAGAAAAGGAAGAAGCAAGGAGAGGAAGAAGAAAAGAATGGAGAGAAAGAAGAAACCGAGAAGAGAGAGAGAGAAGAGTAGAGAGCGATGAAGGTGGCTGGAAAAGTGGCCGCCGGCGGGAAAACTCCGGTGACCAGAAGGAGTAAAGGAGGATTAAGCATGTGGGAGGTGAGTAAAGCTTGAGATTTCCCTCTTTGATGATTATTGATTAATTTGATTTGTGTTGTTTATGATTGAGTGCAATGGTATGAGATTAAACTGAAAAGGGAAGATTAATTACAATAATGTTATGTGGATAGAACATATATGTGGTTTCTAAGCAAAAAAAAATTGGTTAAAGATGTGATTTTTGATATAAGGGTTACTATACAAAATATGACCATCTAGAATTCCGAAAATCGTTTGCATGTTTTGGGTTTTTGACTGAAACTGAATTTCAGATATGTTGTTGTAGACTTCTTGAGGAGTGTTTAAAATTTGTTTCACTCAAAAACTCGAAGTATTGGATTTTCTATAGATTTTTTAAGTTTGCCCTGCAATTCTGGAATTTGGATTTCTACAGAACGAGTATTTTAGTAGATGATTTGATGCATCTATTCCTTTTTAAATTTGATGATTTTAAATTCTTCTGAATCCTGTAGGTGCCTAGTTTAATTCTGGAGGTTTTGGTAAGGTTTAGATTAAAGGTTAAATTGTTATAAATTTTACTAGTCAATAACCTCAATTCTGTAAGCAGTTGGCAGTTTTGAAAAGGTTGAAATAAAATCCTGTTTTAAATGGTTATTGAATCTAGAATGGCTTGGATAATTTACTGGAACCTCATATGTGTCTTGAATGCCCCATTAAAATTATGGCTTAAATTGATTAATGGAATTTTTATGAAAAATCCTGGAGTGATCAGTGTCGGTTAAGAGACAGTTTTTGTTAAAGGATATTAAGTTAATTTTATGGTGTTTAAGATGTCCAATGAATTCAATGTTGAAGTGTTACCATAGGGAGACTTTTGAAATGGAGACGTCATTGGATTTCAGATAAAGGAAGACAAGCGCGGACATCGTTAGAGGATTCTGATCCCTTCTTCGGATCAAGAATTTAGCTTCAAAAGGTGAGTGGATCAACCAAAATTTCCTTGCTAAAAGTCTGATTTTCTGTTGTATGTAATGCGTGGAAGCTTACTGTGGCGTTTGATGTGTGTTTTGTTGATGAAAAAAAAATGCATTCTTGCTTGGTGGGTACTTTAGTAGACTTGAAGATTTTATGTTTGTAACTTAATGATGAATTGGGAGTGTTGGATATTAAATAAATGAAAATGGTATGGATTGCTTTAGGAGGTTGTGGATTATGTTGATGAATTGGCTTAGTGTTGTTTAATCAAGATCATGATTATTGGTTATATTTTGGCTTATGAAAATGTTATATGTATATTGGCATAAAGTTTTTGATATGCATGATTATGGGTTATAGAGCATGTATTGGAAGGGAACTTTTGGCATGCATGTGTGTTTGTGTGAAATTGCATAATTTGGATGATTGGAAATTAAATTGTGAGAAATTGCATGTGGAATTGGTTATTAAAATGGAAAAATCCAGCCAAATTTTGGGGAGGCCTGGTTTGTTTGTTCTTGAATAGAGAATGAGGAAATTGAAGGGTAATGTTGGTGGGAATAAGAGTTATTGTTGGGATGAAATGAAATTCTTGGTTGGGTTGAGTTGGAGAAGTAGATGTTGGAGTGTAAACCCTGTGGATATGGGTTGTTGTTAAATTGAATATAATCTTGGTGGTTGGTTTATTTAACTCTCGATGGATTGAAGTATGGATGAGCTTATAAAAATAGATGGGCTTGGCCCAAATTTAAGAAGTTGTGAGAAATGGGTGTTTTGGGTTGGCTTTATAATCGTGAAAAGATATATTAAATTAGTATTGGGTTTGTTTATATTTGGGGGGGCATAGGCCCAAATTTCTGTGCTTTGGGTTAGTATTTGATTGTAATTGGTGGAAGGATTCCGAAGGGGGCAGATTGTCAGTTTTGCGATTATTGGAGTAAGGCAGGGGGATAATTGTAATGTTTGAAACCTTTGGGACTAAAAATGGGGGGACAAATATGAGGTGTAAATTGATATTTTATAAGTTGGTATACTTCGGAATATTATACTCGTATTTACATGATGGTTTTATTAATAATATATGCCACCCATATTTGAACACTTGCATGAAGGCATGCAATATTATTGAAGGTTGGGAATTTTGGAGCTGGGATTGTGGAAGTGTTATGTGGACTGTAACCAACTTTTTGCATCCACTACTGTTTTATTTGTTTGCTGTAGAAAAGGAAATGTGTCATAAAAATGTTGTGAGACGTCCTAGACATTATAAAAATGTGTTAAATCATAGACAGAAACGTGGTAATAGAAATTGAGGGATTGGTGGTCTGAAGAACTGTATGGGAAGGTGTGAAGGTAATTTCTCTAGCACATCCAGTAGCCAGGCCTAGGGCCAGTTGGAGGCAAGGGAAATTTAATGGCCACTAGTAGTGCAATAGAGCCTCTAGAGGGAACAGAGGATGTTGTGTGACAGTGTGGCAGGTACCACGAAGAGTAGTGTTGGGGTGCAACTTCAGTCTGTTGTCGATGCAGACCATTTGGACATATTAAGAGAGAGTGCCCCAAATTGTCTCAAAGTGGAAGTGTATTTCAGAGGGCTGTCCAGTAGGGTGAATAGGGAGGGAGTTGTCGTGTTAAGGGACAATAGAGGTCCCAACCTAAAGAAGGGTCTAGGTCATGGCAATAGAGAGAGGCAAAGAGAATTGGGACAACCTTGTATTTAGACCCGAGTATACGCCATGACCCAACAAGAGGCCTAGACCATACCAAAGGAGGTAACTTTTTAGGAAGTCAGGAATGCCAAAGTCAATATTTTGTGGAAACACCAAGTAACTCCTCTGTCTAATTTTAGAGGTGACTATTAGGAAGTACTTTCAGAAGGGATGTTAGGTGCAACTGCCTTTTGTGGTGGATACACGAGTGGATGGTATATGATTGGAAGGTATTTCGATGGTAAGGAAATTGGAAAGTTTAATTGCAAGATGTGGTGGCCATGTTTTAAAGAAAGATTGTAGGGTTTGGCTCCAGATATTCGTTATGCTAAACTAATGAAGCGAACATCAGAGTGCCCAATGGAAGCGAGTGGGCCTATAACCTACAATCACCAAGACCGCCCTTGGATAGAAATTCAATGGAGTGATCATACGGAAGAGGAACAACTTGAGAGAGTGAGAAGGATATATGTCACTGTATCCAGAGTTGTTCTAATCAAGTGTAAACTTCGAAGACGAAATTTCTTTAAGGGGGAAGGTTGTATATCCCATATTTTATGGGTTATGTCATAAAATTTATTTGTTTTCTCAGGGAAAAAAATGTGAGTTTCTAAATTTTGTTGGTGGCATTTTGCAAGAAAAGCTGATGTGGTAGGGTCATGATAGAATAAAGAATCATTGAGGTAGTTTCACAATATTAGAAAATTGTTTTATATATAGGTGGGCTGTTCACCAAATGGAAGAATCAAGAAGAAAGAAAAGAGAGAAGGAAGAAGAAAGAAGGGAGAGAGATGAAACCGAGAAGAGAGAGAGAAGAGTAGAGAGCGATGAAGGTTGCTGAAAAAGTGCCGGCGCGGGCAAACTCTGGTGATGGGAAGGAGTAAGGAGGATTAAGCATTGGGAGGTGAGTAAAGCTTGAGATTTCCCTCTTTGATGACTATGATTAATTTGATTTGTGTTGTTTATGTTGAGTGCAATGGATGAGATTAAACTGAAAGGGAAGATTAATTACAATATAGTGGATGAACATATGTGGTTTCTAAGCAAAAAAAAAATTGGTTAAAGATGTGATTTTTGATATAAGGGTTACCGTACAAAATATGACCATGCTAGAATTCCGAAAATCGTTTGCATGTTTTGGGTTTTTGACTGAAACTGAATTTCAGATATGTTGTTGTAGACTTCTTGAGGAGTGTTTAAAATTTGTTTCACTCAAAAACTCGAAGTATTGGATTTTCTATGGATTTTTTAAGTTTGCCCTGCAATTCTGGAATTTGGATTTCTACAGAACGAGTATTTTAGTAGATGATTTGATGCATCTATTCCTTTTTAAATTTGATGATTTTAAATTCTTCTGAATCCTGTAGGTGCCTAGTTTAATTCTGGAGGTTTTGGTAAGGTTTAGATTAAAGGTTAAATTGTTATAAATTTTACAAGTCAGTAACCTCAATTATGGAAGCAGTTGGCAGTTTTGAAAAGGTTGAAAGAAAATTCTGTTTTAAATGGTTATTGACTCTAGAATGGCTTGGATAATTTACTGGAACCTCATATGTGTATCTTGAATGCCCCATTAAAATTATGGCTTAAATTGATGAATGGAATTTTTATGAAAAATCCTGGAGTGATCTGTGTTTGGTTATGAGACAGTTTTTGTTAAACGATGTTAAGTTAATCTTTTGGTGTTTAAGATGTCCAGTGAATTTAATTTGAAGTGTTACCATAGGGAGATCTTTGCACGGAGAGGTCATTGGATTTCGGATAAAAGAAGACAAGTGCAGACATCGTTAGAGGATTCCTTTGGATCAAGAATTCAGCTTCAAAAGGTGATTAGATAAACCAAAATTTCCTTGCTAAAAGTCTGATTTTCTGTTGTATGTAATGCGTGGAAGCTTATTGTGGCATGATGTGTGTTTTGGTGATGAAAAACAAAAATGCATTCTTGCTTGGTGGGGTACTTTAGTAGACTTGAAGATTTTATGTTTGTAACTTAATGATGAATTTATGTGTTTATATATTTTGGATATTGAATAATGAGCTTGATTTGGAATTGATTGTGATTGGAAACAATTCCAGCCAATTGGTGGGGCTGGTTTGCTTGATTTACAATTGGGAGTGTTAGATATTAAATGAAAATGGTATGGATTGCTTTAGGAGGTTGTGGATTATGTTGATGAATTGGCTTGGCCCAAATTTAAGAAGTTGTGAGTAATGGGTGTTTTGGGTTGGCTTTATAATTCTGAAATATTCGGTTTATTTATATTTGGGGGGCATAAGGCCCAAATTTCTTTGCTTTGTGTTAGTATTTGATTGTAATTGGTGGAAGGATTCCCAAGGGGGCAAATTATCAGTTTTGCGATTATTGGAGTACAGGCAGGGGGCTAGTTGTAATGTTTGGAACCTTTGGGACAAATAAAGGAACAAATATAGGGTGTAAATTGACATTTTATAACTTGGTATACTTCGGAATATTATACTCGTATTTACATGATAGTTTTATTAAGAAATATATGCCACCCATATTCAAACACTTGCATGAAGGCTTGTAATATTATTGAAGGTTGGGAAGTTCGAAGGTGGGATTGTGGAAGTATTATGCTGACCATAACCACCTTTGTAGTACCGTCCCCCTCCAAACATCAGCTAGCATTTATATTTGGCCTCATGCGCGCAATGAGATGGTACGTACTACCGCATTGTGATAGCATTCTCTCGGGACAGTATGGACACTTGATGAGCTCCAAGCGGGATTACAACATGCAAGTATTGGCCTGAGTTGGATTATGACACCCAGTGGGTATTGGCTTGGGTGGGATTTGATGAGACTAGTGGGCGGGTATTGGCCTGAGTGGGATATGATTAGCCTCATGCGCATATTGAGATGGCTCGTACTTCGAAACGATGACGATCTATACCATCCTATCGGGACAGGTTGGGTGCCTAACGAGCTCCAGGTGGGATTGCACCCCGAGGATAGACCTTGTGAGAGATTTGATGGATTACACTAGGCGGGTATTAGCCTAGTTGAGCAGCTAGTTGATTGTCTATACTAGGGACCTTGGGTACTGGTGTGGTAGTGGTGTTGGTGGTGGTTGCATTAACTGAATGAGTGGAACTTGTGAACATCTTGCACGTATAGGCTGGGATGAAATTTATGAATATCTAGCAGGTATAGATTGGGTGGAAATTGTGGACACTTGGCGAGCATTGGCGTGAGCAAGATTGGGTTTCGTGTCAGGAAATGTCTGCTCAACTTTGATGATGGTGTATCAGTTTTCGTGAAAATAATACGATGATCCATGGTAATGGGAAAGTTTGTACAAGGATGCAAATTACCTTGCTGGGCATGAGTGGGTAAGAATCAAGGAAATTATATAAGGAAAGTGTGGTTTCGTTAAGGGAATAGTCACGTGTTATGTGAAATGCAAGTTTTGCTCATGCAGGTTTAAGGTTGAAAGTTATTTTCATTTATAAATTGCATTTGGTTGGCTGACAGACATATGTTCATTAGCATGATGGTTATACACATTAGAAGCACTCTGATACATTTGTTCTGTAAGCCATTTTCTAAGATTTACATTTTCATAACTATGTTTTGTGTTACACTATTGTCATTAAAGTTTCTGTGAAAGGAATTGGTAAATTGTTTTTAAAAAAAAAAAATCACCCTTCTCTTGGGATCTTGAATCCCTCGGAGTGCCTGGATTCGACAAGATAGGGAATACCCGGGAGGGGGTGTGACAATAAATCCTTGTGAGTATGGTTTGATTAATTATGCCCTTTTGGAATAGATTAATGCTAGGTAATTAGCATAAAAAATCTCATCATATTCAATGAGTGAAATATGGCAACCTTATATAGGGTTATTTGTATTTTGGATTAATAATAATTATTTAGATAAGATAATATTTTCTATGCTATATAAAATTTAAAAAATAAAATAATAAAATAACAAAGAATTTATGTACCTTGCTTAAAAACCAATGATATTTTCGTGAAATGTCGAGCTTTAAGTAACTACCAACAAAGCGTAAGCATCTGGTTTTGACTAGACCTTTATCTGAAAGAGGTAAGATAAGAAAATAAATAAGATGTGAAGTAATTAAATATAAATTAATGTTAAAAGAGGAAAAACTATGAAGCATTGCTGATCATTCCTTTAAATAATTTAATTATAAAAAGAAAAGAAAAACTTTTTTTATTATTTTGTTCCTGTTTAATAGCAAACAAAGTCAATTCAGACTAGAGTATGTATTTCATTGTAAGTATTAGTGAATATTCTTGAAGTCCCTTGGTTAATGTTTGCTAAATTACCACCCCAAGAAATAAAATCTCATCTAACCTTACTAATATTAAAATTTTTATTTCTAAATAACATAAGATATATATACATACATAATTAAACCTCAATAAATTAATATAATTGGGACTATAAAAATTGGAAAATGATAGAGTTATCGAAAAGTTTACACCGAATTTGTGCACCGAATGACGTGGTAAAATTCTGGCCGTTGATTAATATTAACTGATAATAAATCAACGGTCAGAATTTTGTCACGTCGTTCGGTGTATAAATTCGGTACACATCCATCGGTAACTGTAACATTACTCATAAAAATTTATTAAAAAATCAATATATTAAGTAATCGTATAAATTAATAAATTATTAATTTATTGAGGCATTTTTTATTTTCTTTTTCCAAAACATTGAACCTAATGCCTTACATATTGTGTATAGTTAATGTGATGTACGGAATAGCTCATAGTTAATGCACTTAAAGCAACAATCACATTGCATAATTTTCTCTTGCAATACGAGAACACTACACTAGTGATTCTTAATACACTAAAAAAAGTTAAGAGATGAAATCCAAGAAGACATCAATTTAAAGAGGAAACAAATACCATTGGACTCATTTTATAAAAGGCCTCCTTATTGAGTCATGCATATATATAATTTTTATGTATAAGGAAATTATTAGTTTATATATCAAGTGGTACTGCGTTTTTTTTTTTTTTAATGTATTATCTTATAAATTTAGCAAATTATTAATTTACCACATTAGTCCTAAGTTAGGACCAGTCAAAAGTATTATTTTATTGAAGTTACTAATTTATCGAGTATTAATTTATCGAGGTTTAACTGTATTTTTTAATTTACACAAAGTTAGCCATGACTCAAGAGGTCCACCTTCAGTTAAGATATTTTCTTTTAATTTTAAGATTAAAATATTAAACTATATGATAAATTTTGGTTTCATGATGATGCTCTAAAGCAGAAGTTTTAGATTAGGTATGCTTCGTTAAGCTACATCAATGGAGATTTCCTTATTATATTTTCGAAAAGTTTTCATTTTCATTTATAGTGTAAATATTCAACATAGAAACATAATTTATTGAAGAATATTTAATTATTATAATAAATGTCAAAAGCACAAAAGAAAAAAGGATATTTCCTGTACCTTTTTTCTATTAAGAAATATCTTGACACAATAGAAAACTACACTCTATGAGAGAATACTATGACATGTATTCTGCAAGTGAAACAATAAAAATAAATAGCTAAACAATAAATGACGAATTTTAAATATTTTATATAATCATTACTCGATCAAACTAGAAGATATTATCCTCTTTATAGGGTTAATAGCTCACAACCCCGAGTATATCCTAACAATGGCTACTAATTAGTCAAATATCATAAATTGTTAAGAGTTATAAGCTAAAACTAGGAGACAACAGTCAACAGTTACCTCTTCTTCTCAAACTATATAAGATGTTGTGCCTCTTATCTTACATTTTAACATGTAAAGTTTAAAGATGATAAGTATTATACCCAACTGTGATGATGCTATTTGAGCTTAAGAATCTGTGGTCACAATTCACAAAGTTTAGCTTTATGAACTAGGATACATATCTAAAGTCAGTATAAAGTTTGTGACTGATACCTTCTAAGTAAGAGAATCAGCAGTAAAATTCCACACTCACAATGAAGTGTATTTGAGATCTTCGATCAGATCCTTGTAAACTTTAAGTTAATAAAGACGTTAGCAAGTAAATAATAACAAAAAAAACCAAGTAAAACCAGAAGAGAAGTTGAAGTTGAAACATCATACCGATTGGTGTTCTCCTTGAAATGAAACTTCTCTGATATCTTTAAATCTTTGCACAATCACCTCTCTGCTTTTATCAATAGATGACCCACAATGTCTCCAATAACTTGACCTATCAAATGAGAAAAATATAATTAAGTAAAATACAAGTAACTGTGTTATGGAGCCACAAAAGCATTAATAACAAAATAAATAAAACAAGTTAATCTTGAAAATGAATAAAGATAATAAAGAAAACAAACATTCAATTTTAGGGGGTATTTACATTTTTTAAGGAGATTAAACAAGAAATTAAAATGAAATTGCCAACCCAAATTCTTAACGGATAGTAATTAGTCTAAAGTTGAAATAATGAAGTTCAAAACAAATTAATTTTTGTAGTCTTTCTTTAACTTTTGAATAAATTAATTTGTAGTGGTATAATAATAAAGTTTAAAGATGATAAGTATCATACCCAACTGTGATGATGCTATTTGAGCTTGAGAATCTGCAGTCACAATTCACAAAGTTTAGCCTTATGAACTAGGATATATATTTAAAGTCAGTATACAGTTTGTGACTGATACCTTCTAGGTAAGAGAATTTAAAGTAAAATTTCACACTTAGAATGAAGTGTATTTGAGATTTTCGATCAGATCCTTGCAAACTTTAAATTCATAAAGACGTTAGTAAGTAAATAATTAAAAAAAAAAAAAAAAAAAACCAACTAAAACCAAAAGAGAAGCTAAAGTTGAAACATCATACTGATTGGTGCTCTCTTGGAAATGAAACTCCTATGGAACCTGTAAATCTTTGCATATAAAACTAAGTTGGGAAAGATGTTAGAGAAAATGTAATTTGAAATGCGCGCGAAAACTTAACAAGATTAATCTGCTTTTATCATTAGACGATATGGCTCAAAGATAATTAAGTAAAATTGCTTTGGACGAAATTACGATGGAGATACAGTGGGACAGCAATGAATTTCTTTTTGACAGAAGAAGACAAACAACTTTCGGTGCTGACAATCTCCAAGACAATTCACAATTATTTGTACCAGTTGTTAAGTGTTATTAATTTTCAAAAATTATATAATATATCTTTAAATTTTTTGGCTTTTGACTTTTACACATAATCTTGAAAATAAAATTGATGATAATTTCATAATAGTAATATAAGTTATATTAGATAGGATTTTGAATACTTTACACATATTTTTTGAAAATAAAATGATTATAAAATTAATGTTACATATAGAATTAATTAATATTTTATCCATCTCAAAAGATATTTTGGTACACAAACGATGAAACGAGATACTTCTTTTAGAATTCATAATCTATTAGAATTATTTCATTATTAATCCTCATAAACAATTTTAAAATTGTATTTTCTCAATACTTAGTCTTCTTAGTCAAGAATAAAAATAGTAAAAATATATTGTCTTTTAAAAATATTGTCTAATGTTATTTAATATGGTCTAACATATTTTAATTAAACCGTTAAATACTATATCATTAAATCTAGTTTGATTTGGTCTAATCTAGCGTTATATGTTAATAAACAAAATTTTTATTGTTTCTTAATTTTATAATTACATATATCCTAATATCCTATAAATAAAAGTTTTGATATTAGAGAAATTAGAATTAATAAAAATGATTATATAGATACAAATCAGTTTTGAATGCCATAAGAAAGTAAATCTCTCTTTTAAAAAAAAAAAAAATGAAAAATAAAAACTCAATTATTTTGGGTGGATTGAAGATACTTTCTCAAAATTCATCCTCCATCAAACACTTTGTGGTAAATTATCAGACTAGTTTATCTTTAATTTGTATTATTTTTTTATTTTCCAACTTTATTTTATTCTACTATCATATCCTAAAAATAAAAAACATGTTTGTTTAATATTGTTAAAATTCAACTTATTCTATTCAACTCATAACACTTAACAATTACATTTCTCATAAAAATTTATAAATTACAAAAAACACTCTCACTCACACAAACAACAGTTGCCAGCAAGCAACTGCCGCCAACAACCGTCGCTGATGCCAGAACGACGCACGATTGGCCAGATCGGTCGATCTTTTGCCAATCTGTCAGTTTCCAACCAAATCTTTCTGGATCTGGTAGAAACGGCCAGATCTACAATCAAAAATCTGGCCGTTGACCACACATTCTAAATAAACTTCAACCAAGCCAATGAAGTTCAAAGATGAAATAATGAAGCTCAAAACAAATTAATTTTTGTAATATTTCTTTAACTTTTTAATGAAAAAATATGTAGTGGTATAATAATGAAGTTCAAAGATGATAAGTATCATACCCAACTATGATGATGTTATTTGAGCTTGTGAATCTGCAGTCACAATTCACAAATTCAGTTTTATAAAGTAGGATATATATCTAAAGCCAGTATAAAAGATTGTGATTGATACCTTCTACGTAATAGAATTTGAAGTAAAATTTCACACTCAGAATGAAGTATAATTGAGATCTTCGATCAAATCCTTGCAAACTTTAAGTTCATTAAAACATTAGCAAGTAAATAATAATAAAGAAGAAGTTAATTAAACTAGCTAAAATCAAAAGAGAAGCTGAAGTTGAAATATCGTACTGATGGGTGTTCTCCTATAAATGAAACTCGTCTGGTATCCGGAAATCTTTGCACATAAACTAAGTTGAGGAAGATGAGAGAGATAATGTAATTTGAAATGAGCGTGAAAACTTAAAAGAGTGATATGCTTTTATAAATCCTTCCACATAAAAGTGAGTTGAGGAAGATGAGAGAGATAATGTAATTTGAAATGCACGTGAAAACTTAAAAGACTGATATGCTTTTATCATTGGACGATATGATTCAAAGAAAACTGAGTAAAATTGCTTTGGACGAAATTATGGTGAAGACGTAGTGGGACAGTAACGATTTTCTTTTTGGCAGAAGAAAAAGAAGAAGACAAACAACTTTATAATTTCAATGACCCACCATGTTTGCTGAATTAAAGAGACGTTAAAGAGACGACAAATTTCAGGAGCTACCAAGTAACTCCAGCAGTACTTTATATTGTAAGTGTTCAATGTGCAAAAGGGTCAAGGTCTTGAGATATTGGATTTTCTTTTTAATTATCAAATTTTATGAATGTTGATAACGTGTTTGCTTATTATATATTATTAAAATTTATAATAATCTATTAGAATTATTTCATTTTTTTAATAACTAACATGATTTACTACATGACTAAAATTCATAATAATCTATTAGAATTATTCTAATATAGATACAAATCATTTTTAAATGCTATAAGTTAAGAAAGTAAATCTTTCTTTTTAAAAAAAATAAAAAATAAAAACTTAATTATTTTGGGTGGATTGAAGATACATTATCAAAATTCATCTTACATCAAATATTTTAAAATAAATTTAATCAGGATTAGTTTATCTTTAATTTTACATTTATTTATTTTTTTTTTTTTTTGTCAGAAAAGCTAACTAATTGACTGAAATAATTTAAAGTAATCTGCACATAAAACTGAGTTGAGGATGATGTGAGAGAAAATGCAATTTGAAATACGCGTGAAAACTTAAAAGACTGACATGCTTTTAAGAATGGATGGCCCACAATGTGTTAATAAAATTAATGTTACGTATAGAAATAATTAATATTTGATATGTCTAAAAGAACTGGACTATTAAATCTAGTATGACTTAGTATAGTCTAGGGTTATACTGTAATAACAAAAAATTTATTGTTTCTTAATGTTATAAATAATATTTAACATAATTTTATAGTTACATATATCCTGTAAATAAAATTTTTGACATTATTAGAGATTGGAATTAATAAAATGATTATATAATTTAAGAAAGTAAATCTCTCTTTTAAAAAAAAGAAAGAAATAAAAACTCTAATTATTTTGGGTGGATTGAAGATACTTCTCAAATTAACCGTGCATTAAATAATCATGATTTTAATGGTGTAGATTGAGAATTTCTGTAAAGCACCTTCGCTATTTCAATGTCAATCATTCATAAATAAAAAGGCGATAGAAATGACTAATGAGTTGTACACATACTATATAATTGACTTATGAGTCAATGAAGAGGAAGCTCTCAGAAGTATCCGTAAACATTGCCAAAATTACTTTTTTAGTCCAGGTTCCATCTCGGATACCCGCCCTCAATTTCAAGCAAGTTTCATCCTGAGTACCCACGTTCGGTTCCAATCAGGTTTTATCCCAGGTACCCATCTTCGGTTCCAAGCAAGTTCTATCTCAAATACCTACCATCGGTTTCCATCCCAGGTTTCGGTTCTATCCGCTACCTATGCTCACCCCTATTATTGTCAAACCATAATTTAAAATAAAAAATAAAATGATTCTTATTATCTAATAACAACATCGAGTAATACTACATCAACAATTATTTCTCACAAACTTTCTCTTATAACCTTGATGTAATAGTTTGTAATTTATATATGGGACCTATACATGACCCATATGAAACTCATTATGATCTGATCAATAGCGAGCTATCACGTTAGAATTATGAAAAAAAAAATTTATGAGAAATGATTGTTAATATAGTATTATTCTAACGACATTTGATATTATTTTCGTCTTCAACAAATCCATCCATCACCGTCAATATTACCTTTTAAAAAAATAAAAAATATGTTGAAAGATGATATAACAATGACATCTGATTTGTAATGGTACCATAAATATTGTGTTTGGGATAAGTGTATAATCCTACTCATGCAATTTGTTTTAAACTTTTTTTTTTTAATGTATTTATATTAAGTGAGCTGTTGATACAAATTAATTTTCACAGACTATCGAGTTTAATTTAAAACTATGTAATCGTTTTAAAATGCATCAGTTTCTATTAAAAGAATTATTCATTTATATACTTTTAAAATGTTCGTTTCTTTTTTTCTTTACTTTTTAAATTTCTAATTAAAGTTCTTAATTATTTTTGGTACAAGTTTTAATTTTAATTCAATATTCTAAACATATTAAATATAAAACAATATGATTTTATGTGCTAAACAAAAGGCAATATTATTTTATATTTGGTGCAGTATTATCTCATTAAATGCACTGAAACACGAAATCCAAGATATATCTTTTCAATGATGCAGTTTTCAAAACAACATAAATCGTCGTGCAAGCAGGTCTGTGTGCACTGTTCGATACATGAGGTGGTGCTGTGATTGGAAAGGCATTTATATTTATGACGATGAGAGTGAGACTATTCATATTTGTTTTTGAATTTATTTTCCAGAAGTCGATTCATAAAACAATATATATATATATATATATATATATATTAATCCTAATTACGTGGGTACTTTTAGATGTATTATAATTTAAAAAAAAATAAATAAATTGCATGTATCACTACAAAGGTAATAACATTGTAATCGTCATGCTTGGCTAACTATCCCAAGTCAATTTATTGGTGTGAGCTCAAAAACACGAGATTTGAGTGATGTGATATTTTCTATGCCAGATTGCCAATTTACTTAACAAATGGATTAAATAGCTGCATGCCTTGATCAAGGTATTAATTTAATTAATATGCATTATACTTTTTATTTCTTTTTAAACTACATAATAAACTGATTATTCACAACCAATAATATTACAAGAATTTTTTTGTAGACACTAATTTGATTTAGGATAAAGGACATTTACCCACCCCCTAGATTCATAAATTGCAAATTCTCACCCAATTTTAAACTTTGTTAAGATAAATTTTGTTTTGACTAGTTAAATACCCTTTTTAACCCTTTTTATAATAATGGGTAAATAGATAAATTACTTTCTAACTCTCAAATTAATAGAATTAGAAAAATAATTATTTTTCTTTTAAATTTATTTCAATAACACATTTTTCTTCAACCTTCCTCTCCTCCGCAACGGCTAGATATGGCCATCGGGATCTTCTCCATCTCTTTCTCCTTATCTCTTCTCCACCTCTTTCTCTCTTCTCTCTCTCTCTCTCTCTCTCTCTTCTTTCCTCTTCTCCTCAACGACCATATCTCGGCTACTGGATATGGCCATCGACACCTCTTTCTCTCTTCTCTTTTCTCTTTCTCCTTTCCTCTTCTCTATAGTGACCAAATCTAGCCGCTGATGGTGTTGGTGTTGGTGTTGGTGGTGGTGGAGGAGTTGGAGCCTTGGAGGCAGAGAGGAAGGGTTGGGTTGTAAGAAATTTTGAGATGTGGATGGTTGTTTTGAAATTGTACTAATTTAGGGGAGGGAGAGAGATTAGAGTTTACTATTTTTTTTTTTTTATAAAAAGACCTAAATACCATTTAACTGTTAAATTTAACATTTCAAATTTTAAACTGGGTGAGAATTTGCCATTTATGGGAACTGTAGATTTGTCAAACCTTAGGTGGGTAAAGGTATTTGAATGATAAAAGCAGATGATAAAGGCTGATCTGTTATCACAATTTATCTATTTATGCTCTCTGGATGTTCCTAAGGGGGCGTTTGGTTTAGGAATATTAGATTACTGGGAATATTGGATTATTGGAAAGATAGATTACCTTGGAAGATTACTGGGAATCTTTAAGAAAATATGTTTGGTTAGTTGGTGAGTATGTTATATTAATATGTTTGGTTATGAGAATAAATTGGTGGGTATGTTATTTAAATTACTAAATTGTCCCTCTTTTAAATATTAATATAATATTATTTTTATTATTAATTTTTGAATAATTTTTTTAACCCCCAATATTTCAGATTTAGATAAAACACCCCCGCTTATAAAAAACTTTAATTTATGATGAAATCACCCCACCTCCTGCCGCCGCCTACCGCCACCGCGAACCACCGCCGGAAAATCGCCGGAGCCCCTAAAAAGAAGGAAATTCTGTGGGAGGCTCGGGAAGGCTTCGTTATGGTCGTTTCCGGCCATATTGATGGCCGAAAACGGCCATAGCGAAGCTTCCCGGAGCCTCCCACAGATTTCTTCTTTATTAGGGACTCCGGGGGTGGTCCGTGGTGGTTGGCCTGCTGTCGGCGGTGGTGGTTGGCTGGCAGTGGTGGTGGTGGCTGGGTAGCAGTGGTGGTCCGTAAATAATTTTAAATATAAGGGTATTATTGTCCAAAATTTTAATTAAACAAGGGTAAAATTGAAATAAGATATTAATGTTAATTTGTTTTAAAGTAGGGGTATTATTGTCTAAAATTTTTATTAATAAGGGATAAAATTGTAACAAAAAAAGATAACCTTGGCAATCTTAGAATACTTAAGAAAATTGAGGTAATCAGATTACCTTTGATATTACTAATAGTAACCACTATTGGTATTTAAAGATTACCAGTATCTAATATTACTTGACAACCAAACATGGTAATCAAGTAATATAAGATGACATTACCCCAATAATCCCACTTAACCCTAACCAAACGCCCCCTAAGGATCATTTGACTTGAACTAACAATCCAGTCCATTTATAATAAAAGATACAAAATTTATAGATAATGAAGTTGAAAAATGATAAGTAATCATACCAATTATTGATGGTGCTATTTGAGAATGTGTAATTACAATCACAATTAACATAAAAGTTTGTATCTATAGATATAATTTGAAGAAATAAAAAAATGAATTATGGGAAATGGAGAGAAGGAATGTAGATGGTCGGGTTTGAGGCATAAGTATGTACAAAGAATGAACTCATACTAAAGAATGAACTCACACTAAAGAGTGATTTTTGACAAACTTGCAGTCTATATATGTTTTAAAACAATTAAAATTATAACAATAAGAGGTTTATTAAAGAATAATTAATTGGTGGAGTCCACCCAATACAGATTTATTTATCTATGCTCTAGCTAGATCTATAAATAAAGAAAATTAAATATTACAATACAATTTTCGGTTTTTGTGGTTGTAATACAATTAAAACAATTATTTATGCATAGTAAATTAATTTTACAGAAAGTAGTAAGAATTATGATTAATTCAATAGAAAATTAATCCTAATTAATTAATAGCATTTCTTTATTTTTTTAATGAAGTAATTTATAGTAATAGAAATATGATTAAAAATAGATGACGTAAGTTGAGAGATGACAAAGTAATCATGCCCAACTGTGAATAATGGATACTATTTGAGTTTTGAGCATGTGGGGTCACAATTGCAATTTGCAAAGTCCAAGAATGTAAGCTTTATAATGAAGAAAACAAAAACATTTTAATCAATCAAATATATATAAGCATGCATGAAATCCAATATATGAAGCAAATAAAAACACTATCTTTAGGTATATCACATATGGGTTATTCTTTTAGGTATTGAAAACTATCTAGCTCATAATGCTAGTCAATACCTCTGTTTTAAAACTTGAATAGGATCGGTTGCTTCGACCATGAACTAACCTCCAATTAAGTTCGATCACATGATTTAATCCGATTTTGCTTTTGGGTTAGATTGACCCAACGTGAACAATACTAACTTGGGGTTCAACCGCCGAGTCAGAATAAATCGGGTTAATAGCAGTAAACCAGACCGACCTAACAAAACAAAATTTCAAAATTGAAATCTCTAACCCTTTCTCCATTTCTTCACCTTCACAGCTCCGCGACCGCAACAGCGTGACTTCGCTAGTTCGCCTTCACTCATCCGGTGTTCACACCGTAGTTTACTTTACTTTAATCTTTGATTCTCTTGTCCTTATTCTAGTTTCAGCTGATTTGGATCTCTCTTTCTAACCATCCCTTACGACTACTCATTTTGTCATGATGAAAGTGTTGGAGTTGTCGACTACTTCAGCATTAATGGGTAACGGAGACGCACTCGGAGATCCCGCTGCCCGGTCAGCGGGCAGGTGCCCCGCTCCCCGGTGAGCGGGCGGGGGTCGCGGGGGCAGCACCCCCGAACCCGTAGGCGNTCAACCATGAACCAGTCTCCAATCTAGTTCGATCACATGATTTAGCCCAGTTTTGCCTTTGGATTGGATTGGCCTAGGATTGACCCAACATTGAACAATACTAACCTAGGGTTCAATTGCGAGTCAGAATAAATCGGGTTAGTAACAGTAAACCAGACGGACCTAACAAAACAAAATTTCAAAATTGAAATCTCTAACCCTTTCTCCCTTTCTTCACCTTCACACTTCGCCAATTCGCCTTCACTCGTCCAGTGTTCGCCGTCGTTTACTTTACTTTAATCTTTGATTCTCCTGTCCTTATTCTGGTTTCAGCTGATTTGGATCTCTCTTTCTAACCATCCCTTATGACTACTCATTTTGTCAATGTGAAAGTGGGTTCCGTCGAAGGTGTTCTTAGCCGCCCCCCCTTTGAGTATGCCCTATCCAAGCGTTTCCAAGGACTCAAGGATCGTATAAAACTTATTCATAAAACTTTAATGACAGTTGTACAACTCAAAACATGATTATGAAAGTGTAATCATTTACATAAAACACTGTATCAGAGTGCTCCTCTAAGATGTACAAGCGTTATGCCAATGAAAATGCGACTGTGGGCCAACCTAAAGCATAAGCAAGCGCCTCACGTTCCCTGTATGTAAACCTGGGGAAAAATATAAAACAATGAGCTAGGGAGCCAGTGAATGGATAATACAGTTCATACACGAAAATAGCTTTCAGCCTTAAGAAACATGCATGAGAAAACCGCTTGCATTACATGCAACACGTAACCATTCCCTTAGCGAAGCAACACTTCCCTTATATAATTTCTGAACACTGTAGAACGTCCATCATCTTGCTCTGACGATTGCTTTGCAAACTCAACTTCAGGAACCAAGTGGCCTGCGCCTGCTAGAGAGATGAACACAGGCTCAGCTTTCTTCAGTCTTGGCGATAGGAGAGGAAAATGTAATGAAAATTTGTGATTTCTTTTCTTCTGAGGAGTGGATAAGGGATCTAAATCACTCCTTTGATAAAGTAGTGATCTTGTTGCACATGTATATGAAATCAACCAATCATGTTGCAGAGAGAGATTCATTTGGTCAGAAGCTGCAATTAATGATTAATAAACAAATAAAGAAAAGAAATAAATACACACCCCAAAAGCTTATTATAATAAAAGTTTTGGAGAGTTTTAGGCTGAGTATGGGTAAAGGATAGACCCAAAACCGACAAGTATCTGGACCTCTGATTTCAGATAGTAATCGGAACCGTCATTGACAGGGTAGGTTCCGGTTCTAAGAAGTTGGAATCGGGACTCCCCGATTCCAGTTCCTTCACTGTAGGAACCAAGAACTGAACCTGGAACCGGACTCTGCATCTGCATATGTAAAAACCAAAACCAAACCCTATACCCATCATTCAAAATATTCCCAAAAATTACATATATAATCTTACAGATATTAAAAAGAGTGTGAAAGAGAGAGACCTTGTCGAGGAAAGCGGAGGACTTCGGTGGTTTGGAAGAAGGAGAAGCAGAAGGTTGATGTTTAAGGGTCATTTTGCTATGCTTTGTGATTGTATTTGAGAGTTGATTTTCTGGTTGGCGCTGTCTCCCTCTCTTGCATTTTCTGCTTCCTTGCTTTTTCATGGGATTCTGCAAAACAAAAAGTCAAAAACGAAACCAAAAACCCTTCTTATGGGTTCAACTGTTCAAGAGTTGAACCTCGAAGAAGAAAAGTAAATATTTGTGTTTAGTTCTTTTATTATGGGCCCAAAGGTTTAGGCTTCTTGGGAAGCCCAAAAAAAGTTACCCAAACTCAAAAAAAGCACTTTTAGTTGATTGACTGCCAACAAAACTCACTCATCCATCCATGGCCTCCTCTGTTCCTCTTCCGCCACCACCACCACCGCCCCCCACTTTTCCGCCACCCCTTTCCCTTTCACCGCCAATTCCCAAACTCACAATCGTTCCCGCTTGAGCAAAATATGCCAAGAAGGCCAACCTTATTTAGCCCGCCAACTGTTCAACACAATTCCTTGCCCAACTACCGTCCTTTGGAACACCATCATTATTGGTTTTATTTGCAACTAGATGCCACAAGATGCCATTTTGTTCTATGCCCAGATGAAAGAATGCGCTCATTATACTTTGTGTGATAACTATACGTACTCTTCGGCTTTCAAGGCATGTGCCGCGACGCACAATTTCAGAGTCGGAAAAGCTGTTCATTGCTATTTTGTTAGGGGCTTATTGAACCCAAGTAGGATTGTGTATAACTATCTGTTGAATATGTACTCTACTTGTTTGAGTTCTGTGGTGGATAGTGAAATTGGTGGGTGTGGTTATTCTGATTTTGATTATTCGAAGTATGATTTAGTTTGTAAAGTTTTTGATACGATGAAAAGCAGAAATGTTGTTTCTTGGAATACTATGGTTTCATGGTGCGTAAAGACAGAGAGAGATGCAGAAGCGATTAGGCAATTTAGGATGATAATGATGAAGGGAATTAGACCCAGTACTGTTAGTTTTGTTAATGTTTTCCCGGCTTTGTCGAGTTTAGAGGACTATAAGAACGGTAACGTACTTAATGGATTGCTTGTTAAATTGGGAAGTGAATATGTAAATGATTTGTTTGTTGTGAATATGTAAATGATTTGCTTATCTATTAAGGCATGGCATTCAGTTTGAGGGAATGGAAAGTTATCTTATAGACATGTATGCAAAATCTGGTTTGATTAAGGCTTCTCAACAAATTTTTGAGAGAAACCATCCTGGAGACAGAGATCAAGCCACTTGAAATGCTATGATTGCTGGGTATACCCAAAATGGATTGGTTGAGGAAGCTTTCATTACTTTATTTAAACAGGCCTTATCTCATTGTTCAGGTAAGATACAGAAAAACTCTCATCCTAGCATGATGGTAAAAATTTCGCCTTTAAAAAAATTATATCACCCTATGCTCAGAAGCAACGGGGCTTTATTATATATGGTGCATGAATTTCTTTATTGGATCTTTCTCACTTTTTTAACTGCAGTGGCTGCCTTCTCATTGCTTCTTAGTTAGGGATATCTTCTATGTTCTTTCCTCTGCTGTGATCAAAGTACTTTTTTCATATTGTAAAGTGACCTTACCTAAATTTTTATCGCCGAATCTGTCTTTTGGGTGGAAACAAAGAAGAAAGTGAAAGATTGGTTTAAAATTCATCTGAGAAGTTCTGCATGCAAAATTGTAGAAAAAATTGTCATTAGTTTCTATTATTTAAGTATTCGATTCTTTATTCTTGAAACTGCTAGGATTCTCTTTAAGTTGATAGTTTCAACATTTTCTATTGATATACAAGATTTGACATTCATTAAGTCAAGAAGAAAATGCCTACTTTTGGATTCTCTATGGTCTTTTGTTTTTGTTTCTTTCTCGTTGGAACGAGTTTTCAATATGTTGGTCGATGTGATGCTCTAAAGTAATGGATGTTCACAAGAATCAATTAGTTCAAAAATTTGTAATTTCATTTGCCCTTTTTTTGAGAACATCAATCATAATTGTGACAGGAACAAATGTTACATGGATTGCAGAACTCAACAAGGGCATATTCTCGCTCTAGTGCATCATCATCTGCAATGGGGCAGCATGATCGTGGAGTTGCCAGGGAGGTTGACGCCATCTACCGCCTTCTGCCAGTTTGCGCCAGTGTCCCCCTGAGAGATTGAAGGGGCTACAGCACTTGACCTTCAACCAGGCATTCTTAAGTTCTAACCTTGTTAAGGGATGCTGAACTACTTCATGTGAGTTCCAGCAGGTAAATAACACTCTTCTTATTCTCATATATTAATTACTATATATAATTAGATGGTTTTAATGGGTTATAAGATATGGATTTGTGACATAATTAATGTCAGATATCAAAAAATATTTAATCCTTCATATGATTGATACTTAATTACATGGGATAGACTCATTCATAGTACACTCGTTGTATGCTAACATGGCATACACTCATTGCATGAGTTACATGTGTCTCTACTCTTTTCAGTACTAGCAAAGCACTGACATCATTTACAATTATTTATGAATCATCAATCATCCACAAAATGAACAAGAAAGCTCAGCTCATCTTTATTCCGTGGAGCTGGCCAAGCTTCTCGTTCACTACCACCACCACCTCTCCATCACCGTCCTCGTCATGAAACTACCTTCTAACTCCGAAGTCAATGCCTACCGCGACTCAGTCTCTGCAGCCAACCGTATCCACTTCGTTCATCTTTACAATGATCACCTCCCAATGTTGTGACTATGACATCTGTGCTTCCAGCTTGTAATCCAATGGGAAGTATAGAGTTGGGCAAGCAACTTCACGTATTTTCTATCCACCATTTGTTGGACCAAATTGTCTTTGTAGGCTCTGCTCTTGTTGATATGTATTCTAAGTCAGGGTCAATTTCTTATGCTGAAAATGTGTTTGCCCAAACCTCTGAAAAAAATCCTGTCACATATACCACAATGATATTGGGTTATGGTCAACATGGGATGAGCAAGAGAGCTGTCTCTTGGTTTTACAGAATGCAAGAATGTGACAGTGAACCTGATGCTGTTACCTTTGTTGCAGTGTTGTCTGCTTGTAGTTATGCCGGCTTGGTTGATGAAGGTCTTCACATATTTGAGTTGATGGAGAGTAAATACAAGATTCAGCCCTCAACTGAGAACTATTGTTGTGTTGCGGATATGTTATGTAGGGTTGGGCGGATGGTTGAAGCCTATGAGTTTGTCCAAAAATTAGGTGAAGAGGGGAATGTGTTGGAAATTTGGGGTTCACCCGGTGCTTGCAGACTTCATGGAAAATCTGAATTGTGAGAAGTTGTGGCCAAGAAGTTGCTTGAATTAGATACAAGAAANTCAAGTTCTAACCTTGTTAAGGGATGCTGAACTACTTCATGTGACTTCCAGCAGGTAAATAGCATTCTTCTTATTCTTATATATTAATTACTATATATAATTAGATGATTTTAATGGGTTATAAGATATGGATTTGTGACATAATTAATGTCAGATATCAAAATAGATTTAACTCATTTAATATGATTGATACTTAATTACATGGGATAGACTCGTTGTATGCTGACATGGCATACACAGTACACTCATTGCATGAGTTACACGTGTCTCTACTCTTTTCAGTACTAGCAAAGCACTGACATCATTTACAAGCTATATTTAGTATTTACTACACATTGAGTGCAGGGTCTCTCGGTTTGATATTTCATGCACAGGTTCTTTGTGATGCTCAGAAGTGTAATAACCAAGACGCCAAACCATAATGTATCCAAAATTGTGATAGCTCAAGGTCTCCTTGAATTCAAAACCTCACTCTCAGATCACAACTTTTTCTACTACTGAATTATAATAAGCCAATATTGAACTATAAATTTGACTATAGAATTGTAATAAGCCATCTGTCGAACCATAATTTATTCATAATTGTAATAGATCAAAGGTCTCCTTGAGTTCAAAATCTCAATGTTGAACCATAATGTTTTATGCTAATTAATTGTAATAAAACAAATGCCGAGCAAAAAGTTCGACTATAAAATTGTGAGCACCCAGCTGTAAACCACAAGTTATCCATAATTGTAATAGATCAAGGTTTGCTTCTAATTAACTATAACATGGTAATAAGTTAGATGTCGGACCATGATTGATCCATAATTATAATAGATCAAGGTCTCATTTAGTTCACAATCTCACTGTCCAACATTTTTTATCGTTAAGATTACTACCAATCATCGTTACTATTACCTATTAAACAAATATGCTTAACAATTTTTAATTGTAATAAGGCAGTTTTCCAACCAAAATTCAAAATGAAAAGCAAAATGATTCTTACCATCTAATAATGACATCTTATATTGTTTTCATCTTTAACAAATTCATCAATCACTGTTAATATTATCTATTAAAAAAATATGTTGAACAATTGTTAATTGTAGCAAACAAGTTGCTGAACCATATCTTAATTGAATACATTAAGTATTTAAGAAATATAAAATTACATGAAAATGACATTGGATATTGTTATTGTTCTTAAGAAATCCATTGGTCTATTACAGTTTACTTTTACGTTATTCAAGGAGTTTTTTAACTTTCTTGAACTGGTGTATTATTAACTACTTAATAAATAAAATATTGCATTTCATTACATGTGATTTAATATAATTGGTGTTTGTTGTTAATATAATGTTGTTTACGAAGTGTTTCAAATACAAACAATAAATATACCCGGGCGACGCAAGGACCCTAAACCCTAAACCCTACACCTAGTTTAAATACTAAAGTTGTTCAATAATTATCAATTAGGAAAAAAAATACTTGAATAAAAAAGGGAAAAAAATTATTAATTTAGCTATTTTGGTGGTAAAAAACTTGAAATTGAAATTTCTAAAGTAAGCGCAAAAGTCCATTCGTGCCAGTTTTTGTGCTAGCCCATTCGTGCTTGGGCTTGAGCTTGGCACGACCCATTCATGTTGTGCCTATTGGGCCTTAATTACAGAATAGTGGCTGTGCCGACCCAACACGATTTATTATTCATGTTGGGCTGGACTAACATAAACAACAATTTGGGCCTAGAAAAAATATTATTATTAATCAAATTAGTAATAATTTTAGTTGTTCAAACTTCAAACGGCAATCACTTCGTATAGTTGTCCTCAAGTTCATTACAGTCATAACTAATGCCCTTAACAACTGTCAAAATGGAAAATTCTGGGTTTTTTTCTTCCCCTCCAAACAATTCTGAGAAAATGCAAAATTTTACTCTTGACCTGTTCAATCGATCCCAGACAATTTATTCTCTTCCACATTGCAATTTATTACCCCAAATTGCATCGTGACAACTATCGACTTTGGAGATCTCAGATTTTATTTGTTGTCAGCTCAGTGCTTGAAGATCACATCGCTGGTTTGAGTGTTTGTCCACCTCCGTTCTTGAAGGTCAGTTCAGAAGGATTTTCGACTGGTGCAATGATGAAGAAGGTCAATCCTAAATATTCGTTATGGAAGAGAATCGACAAATGTCTAGTGAGTTGGCTTTTTGCTTCTATCTCTGAATCGATATTTAGGCTAGTTTCTAAATGTCAGTTAGCTTCTAAAATTTGGCTTACACTTGAACAGAACTTGTTTCGGAGACTAAAGCTAACGATATGTTGATGATGTAACTATTTGTTAGTGGTTGTGTGATAATGATGAGGATTTGTTGATTAATTACATACTGGATTTGTCCTGAGTTCGTCGTTGTGGTAGTTAACATACTTCTAGCTTTGGAAGAATATCATTGCAAAAGGCACAATATTTGTACAAAAGTATGTTAAAATTAGAAAGAGATAATGCTTTGCTATCAGTTGCTATTAGTTTAGACTCAATGGAGATTAGGTGAATTTGGTTAGTTAGCAGTAATGTCAATTATAAGTTTGGTTAGAATAAGAACCAGAAATCAAATGATAATGTTGTTAATAATCAAGGTGCCATGATGCGGACTAAGCCTAGTTTTGGTCATAAAGGTGTTAGTGTTGCTGGCTATAATCCTGTTCCTAGTAATTAGTACCTAAGCAAACTCCCATTTCAATACTTTAATCCTACCTCTATTCAGCTCTTTAGCTCAACATGTGAATTTTGTTCTCAATATTCTCAGCACTTTCAGTCTAATCAGTTTTTAGGAGGAGGAGAGATTATGGTAGAGGTCTAATTATAGAAATAAGCCTATTTAACATGTGGTAAGTCAAGCCACACTGCAGTTCTCCTCAACCTAAATGGCTGTTCAAGCATGCAATGTCTCACAGCTATGATTCACATCAAGCTTCTCAGCTCAAGGTTTTATCCTCAATTCAAGCCTCCTTGTTCTACTCACAATGTTTCTAATAATTATGCAACAACTGCTTCAGCTACAGTCAGAGAAACAGTTTGGTACATCAAGCCAAGAACCACTGATCATGTCACAACAGATTTGAGTCAGTTGTTGTAAATGCAAGCTACATGGCCAGGATCAAACTTAAGTTGGGAATGTGAGCGTGTGAACATTCTCATGCAGGTTTTACTCTTTACCAAGTGCTTTGAAATCTATGTTCTTTTATCTTAAAAATGTTCTCGGTGTTCCTCATATGTCTAAAATTTGTAAGGATTTCAAAATTTACAAAGGATAATAATGTGTAGTTGAATTCCTTGCTGTTCACATATGATCAAGGACAAAGTCACCAAGATAGTGTTGTCACAAGGGAGCTTAAAGTTGGTTGTACCAACTAAAGATTCCCTCTACCTCGTCTTGTTCCAGCTTCTACTATCCATAGTCAGGCTACTTCAGTCTTCTCTTTCCTCTGATGCTGCTGTTTGCAGAATGCGTCATCTACTGATTTTTCTAAACCTCTTGCTCAACTGTTTTCAATGTTGCTACATATAAAAATTCTGATGTTTTCTTAATACTTTAGAATGTAACGCTTCTCTTAGGAATGAGAATTTAGGGTCAAAGTGTAAAACTGTGTTCGATGCAGCTCCATGTATGTCATCTGCCATTAATTGTTCTATCAATAAAACTTATGTTGTTAGCCGTCAAGCTTTAACTTGAAAACTTATGTTTAGCCGTCAAGCTTTGTGTACTGACAAGTTAAAAGCAATGCTATGACAAAGAGACTGGACCCCCAATGAACAAGTTTTGAGCACTGTGTTTGCACAATAAATGCATAATAAACCTTGTTAGGTCTTTGCCATTTTGCTTAGCATGTCAATTTGGTAGATTGCACAATCTATTTTTCCATATTTAGTGGAGCTTCCAAGCCTCTTGAACTAATTCATTCTAAACTTTGAGGCCCTCTCCACAATTGAAGTTCTGCAGAATATGAATAGTCGTTAATTGGAGTTGTGACCAGTGCTTCAATTGAAGTTGTTGCTGTTAGTATAATGAGGGGAGTTTTATTGTTGGGTAGTATACTGAAGTGATTTTTTTTTTGTAGCTTGTGTAGTAGTGAGATTGACTTTGTGGTTAGCAGCTGAGATTAAAATTGAAGTGAAAGTTGTTGATAATGTGCTATTGTTGATGTTGGCATATTGAAGCACAATTTAGCTGTTGATAAACTGAACGTGATACTGTTTGGTTTACTGAAGTGAAGTTCCTTTAAGCTGTTGCTGATGGTTTACGAAGTGAAGTTCCTTTCTGAGTTTGTGTAGTAGATAAGGTGGAGCGGTGATGAACTGAAGCTGGTCTGTTGGTTAGTTTGTGTAGTAGCTGAGGATTAACAGTTCAGATTGACACACTGAAGGTTATGAAGATCTGATTTGCAAGCAGAGAGCTATGAAGCAGAATCAAGTTGAGATCTACTACAAATGTGATCTGAAGTGTGTGAAGTTGGAGTTTCAATTCATTTTACTGCAGAGTGTGGGATTTGTTTATTGCCGAGCCAAAGTTTTTTTTTACAAGCTCAAACTGGAGGGCAGTTTAGCTTGAGGGGGGGATATTGACTATGAAAGACAAATGCTGGAAGCTGAAAGAAGTAAAATGTCACAACTATCCTTCACTTACTTAAAGTGATACTTTATATGCTGTCGCTTTTTACTAGTGTTTTAAGTAGTTAGCCTAAGTCAACTTCTTCTCTTTACTTTAGCCTTCAACTTACTCTCTTTACACATATAAAACAGAGGTGTAGGAGTAAAACTAGCTTTACACCACCTCTTACGCCATTCTCACATTATGACATGGCAGTTGACATGGCAGATGTCATCTATCTGCCACCTCACCAAACTGCCACATCACTTACTCCCAAAACTTAAAAAAAAAAGAAATTTTCAAAATACCCTAAATTTGAAATCTCCACTTTCCTCAAACAAATCAAATCAATTCAATTT